CATCTAGCCACCTTTGTTCTAATATTTTGCACGTCATTGACTGCATGGTGCGTCACGCCAACCAAGAGTCACCAAGCAACCGCATTTGATGCCAGACCAACAGCATTGACCATGAACCATATGCAGTATGTTGCATGCAGAACCTTTACATACTGCGGTAGTTTTGAGCTAGAGACAGATCTGTTGATGATGTAGTGTTTAACTAAGAGGTGTTGTCGGTCTTATTGTGCTACGAAGACTGCAGTCGACGCCAATAGCTATCTAGTTTATTTCTAAGCACTGAAAGTGACATCTAATGCTGACATTGTACAAGCAAATTGATAATGGCAAACATTGCAGACGTCAAATGATCGTGAACATGTGGTCAGGTGAGTTTGAATATGTTGTGTAGAAGAGGTAGTCAATGAAAAAACTCGATGGAGAGACATCAATTGCCAGTGTCGCCATAGACAAGATAATGATCTACTGAACAATGCAAATGAATCTTACGAATGCAAGTTCTTACCCATTGAGATCTTACGATATGTAGTTGTAGAAGAAGGTTCTGAATTGATTGATCGACAACGTTGAAGAACTCTACACATGCACAGAGATATTCAAATAGACATGCTTCATACTCCATCCAATTGTTCTGTACATATAAACACTATCTATTTACCTAATAACGCGTTTGACCGTCTGTAATTTATTATTAGCTCTAAATTAGCGTCACTTTTATTCGTTACGCTGTAATAGACCGTTTTGACTCGAATAAAACACCTCATTCATTAATCTACACACACTCATGAAAAAACCATATTGTAACACAACACTTTGTTATTTGAGGTTTACTATCGAAAACAACCTTCCCACTACCTCACAAAGCTCTGAACTGACAACCGCTACCGCCCACTATCAGTCCAATATTCATACCCAAAATGTAAGACAATCACAGCTCAGCTGTACCATCACCAACCTTCAGCTTACGCAGACTTGGTCGTCTCTTGCTTCTGTTGCTGTTCCTGCTGTTGCTTCAATTGCTTTTGTTGCTCGTCTTGCGCCGCCTCGCTCGATTCCTTCAACTCCTTCTTCTTCTTCTCCTGGGCCTTGCCAAATGGCGTCGTACTCCAGAGCTTTTCAAACTCCTCGGGTGTACTTTGAGAACAAATCGTATGGTGTTCACCTTCATCATTGCCGTGCTTTCGGTTCCACACCGTCTTTAGACGTTTACCCATGACCTCACGCTCATGCTCGGCTTTCAGACGACCCGTCGAGTCTTCGTAACGTCGACGTGTACTCATCACTTTACGCCCTTCCTCATCCACGACCGACGAACTACTGAACGAATACGACGAGAAAGCGCGTTTATTCTCAGCTTCTGCGGGTGTCTCATTCTTCTCCTTTTGCTGCTCTGCTGTAGGCAAATCCTTGAAAAACTCCTCGTCAGTACTGACACCGGGCACATTACGCATGCTCATTGATAATTGAGGCATCGTATTCATGTCCATCATCGACAATTCCAGCATTGACATGGGGTGCCATAGCGTTGGGCGTACTAAATCCCACGACGAAAACATCTTGATATCACTTGATAGTTTCTTGTACTCTTCTTGACTTTTGCTTGAGGTAGATAATTCACAACTGAGGTCTAATGACGGACTTGACAAACGCCGTTGACATCGGTCACTCTACGAGGAGGTACAAGGAGTTTGGATACCTTGAGACCAGTCTAGCAAATTCTAACGGTAGCATCACACCAACGTATGTTGAAGTGAGCGTTGAATTTCTAGAACGTAGCCCATACTCAGTCTAAATTGATTTTCATCATGTGTCGTGCCCCCCAATATCTGCTGTATGAACTTCTTCCAGTCTCATTACTGAAGTGTTAGCTCGAACATTCTCCTGCTTCTGCTGAGACGAGGCCATGTGTTGAAGAATTCTTCTGCATATTCAGATCAATGGTTGTATTCACCTACTGAAATACTAGCTTCCTCGTCTGCACTTGCGTTATGTGCACTAAGTCTCTCGTGTTTTCGACGGTGCCAACCAAGCACAAAGACACCTTCTAGAAGACATCTAGCCACCTTTGTTCTAATATTTTGCACGTCATTGACTGCATGGTGCGTCACGCCAACCAAGAGTCACCAAGCAACCGCATTTGATGCCAGACCAACAGCATTGACCATGAACCATATGCAGTATGTTGCATGCAGAACCTTTACATACTGCGGTAGTTTTGAGCTAGAGACAGATCTGTTGATGATGTAGTGTTTAACTAAGAGGTGTTGTCGGTCTTATTGTGCTACGAAGACTGCAGTCGACGCCAATAGCTATCTAGTTTATTTCTAAGCACTGAAAGTGACATCTAATGCTGACATTGTACAAGCAAATTGATAATGGCAAACATTGCAGACGTCAAATGATCGTGAACATGTGGTCAGGTGAGTTTGAATATGTTGTGTAGAAGAGGTAGTCAATGAAAAAACTCGATGGAGAGACATCAATTGCCAGTGTCGCCATAGACAAGATAATGATCTACTGAACAATGCAAATGAATCTTACGAATGCAAGTTCTTACCCATTGAGATCTTACGATATGTAGTTGTAGAAGAAGGTTCTGAATTGATTGATCGACAACGTTGAAGAACTCTACACATGCACAGAGATATTCAAATAGACATGCTTCATACTCCATCCAATTGTTCTGTACATATAAACACTATCTATTTACCTAATAACGCGTTTGACCGTCTGTAATTTATTATTAGCTCTAAATTAGCGTCACTTTTATTCGTTACGCTGTAATAGACCGTTTTGACTCGAATAAAACACCTCATTCATTAATCTACACACACTCATGAAAAAACCATATTGTAACACAACACTTTGTTATTTGAGGTTTACTATCGAAAACAACCTTCCCACTACCTCACAAAGCTCTGAACTGACAACCGCTACCGCCCACTATCAGTCCAATATTCATACCCAAAATGTAAGACAATCACAGCTCAGCTGTACCATCACCAACCTTCAGCTTACGCAGACTTGGTCGTCTCTTGCTTCTGTTGCTGTTCCTGCTGTTGCTTCAATTGCTTTTGTTGCTCGTCTTGCGCCGCCTCGCTCGATTCCTTCAACTCCTTCTTCTTCTTCTCCTGGGCCTTGCCAAATGGCGTCGTACTCCAGAGCTTTTCAAACTCCTCGGGTGTACTTTGAGAACAAATCGTATGGTGTTCACCTTCATCATTGCCGTGCTTTCGGTTCCACACCGTCTTTAGACGTTTACCCATGACCTCACGCTCATGCTCGGCTTTCAGACGACCCGTCGAGTCTTCGTAACGTCGACGTGTACTCATCACTTTACGCCCTTCCTCATCCACGACCGACGAACTACTGAACGAATACGACGAGAAAGCGCGTTTATTCTCAGCTTCTGCGGGTGTCTCATTCTTCTCCTTTTGCTGCTCTACTGTAGGCAAATCCTTGAAAAACTCCTCGTCAGTACTGACACCGGGCACATTACGCATGCTCATTGATAATTGAGGCATCGTATTCATGTCCATCATCGACAATTCCAGCATTGACATGGGGTGCCATAGCGTTGGGCGTACTAAATCCCACGACGAAAACATCTTGATATCACTTGATAGTTTCTTGTACTCTTCTTGACTTTTGCTTGAGGTAGATAATTCACAACTGAGGTCTAATGACGGACTTGACAAACGCCGTTGACATCGGTCACTCTACGAGGAGGTACAAGGAGTTTGGATACCTTGAGACCAGTCTAGCAAATTCTAACGGTAGCATCACACCAACGTATGTTGAAGTGAGCGTTGAATTTCTAGAACGTAGGCCATACTCAGTCTAAATTGATTTTCATCATGTGTCGTGCCCCCCAATATCTGCTGTATGAACTTCTTCCAGTCTCATTACTGAAGTGTTAGCTCGAACATTCTCCTGCTTCTGCTGAGACGAGGCCATGTGTTGAAGAATTCTTCTGCATATTCAGATCAATGGTTGTATTCACCTACTGAAATACTAGCTTCCTCGTCTGCACTTGCGTTATGTGCACTAAGTCTCTCGTGTTTTCGACGGTGCCAACCAAGCACAAAGACACCTTCTAGAAGACATCTAGCCACCTTTGTTCTAATATTTTGCACGTCATTGACTGCATGGTGCGGCACGCCAACCAAGAGTCACCAAGCAACCGCATTTGATGCCAGACCAACAGCATTGACCATGAACCATATGCAGTATGTTGCATGCAGAACCTTTACATACTGCGGTAGTTTTGAGCTAGAGACAGATCTGTTGATGATGTAGTGTTTAACTAAGAGGTGTTGTCGGTCTTATTGTGCTACGAAGACTGCAGTCGACGCCAATAGCTATCTAGTTTATTTCTAAGCACTGAAAGTGACATCTAATGCTGACATTGTACAAGCAAATTGATAATGGCAAACATTGCAGACGTTAAATGATCGTGAACATGTGGTCAGGTGAGTTTGAATATGTTGTGTAGAAGAGGTAGTCAATGAAAAAACTCGATGGAGAGACATCAATTGCCAGTGTCGCCATAGACAAGATAATGATCTACTGAACAATGCAAATGAATCTTACGAATGCAAGTTCTTACCCATTGAGATCTTACGATATGTAGTTGTAGAAGAAGGTTCTGAATTGATTGATCGACAACGTTGAAGAACTCTACACATGCACAGAGATATTCAAATAGACATGCTTCATACTCCATCCAATTGTTCTGTACATATAAACACTATCTATTTTACCTAATAACGCGTTTGACCGTCTGTAGTTTATCTATTAGCTCTAAATTAGCGTCACTGACACATCTTATTACGTCCTTTTGATTTGTATCAAGTCATCGGAAAATTGATATCATGACAAGTCATTGCGGCGCTTTATGTGTCCACTGGTCGCTTTACAGTGACATCACGTGCTCTGAGACTTCTTGTGTGTTAAGTGGCGTTCTTTCTGTCGATATGTTGCAATCAATACGATCTCAAATGACCTCCAAGTTATCAGATAACGCTATCAAGTCATCGCATTTTGCTGTCGTATCAAGTGGTATTCAACTCGTGCCTGCCATTCAACGCCGTATTTCCGACGTTATAGCGTTCCAGACGTGGAATGAGGTTGTATCAAATGGAAAGAATGAAGCGTTTCCAGTTGCTGTGGAAGATCTGAGTATAAGTTCAAAGACAGCTGCTGAATTGGGGCTCGAGAACAAGGAAGTTGTGTATTGTAAGCTTCAATTGGTCATTGAAGGAAGCTCACGTACTGAAGTAACGACAGTGTCCAGTACGCAAGATACTGACTGGTTTATGTGGAAATTGGAGCGTGCTGGAGAGTACCGAATACGAGGAAATGAAGCTTTCAAGCACGAGAACTACAGCTCTGCCGTGCGGCTCTATAAACGAGCCTTGGCGTGGCTTGAATCACCACGTACGGAATCCGAGACGTCATTGGAGACTAACGTTCCATACTCGGAAAATGAGCTGCAACACGTCAATCCTATAGCTGTCGCCTGTTATGTCAACATGGCTACGTGCTACTCAAAGTTGCACAGAGTCGGTGATGTAGACCGCTGTATTGCTGCTGCTTCAAGTGCACTGGCACTGGATAATGCACACGTGAAAGCTCGATATCGTCGTAGCCAGGCGTACGTATCGTCAAAGGAGTTTGACCTTGCGTTGGCCGATCTCACAAAGCTACGCGAGCTAGAGCCAAATAACAAGTTGTTCCACTCTGCAATGGCAAAAGCTCAATCTGCTAAGACGAAATTTCGCAAGAAACAGCAGGACGCATACGCGACCCTTCTTAACAAACACATTGATCACAGATAGAGACGAGAAAAGACCAGTAATTTAAACAGGGAGTGGCGTGTTCCATTTTCGCTCGATTGCTGCGGGATTACCACGGCGCTCCAAGCAACACCAGATGCACATCCTCACTCTACTTTTAGAAGCATACTGATTTCTCACAGGCACATGTGTGTCAGCTTTGCTCGTTCAGTCTTCTTCATCAATAACTCAGCAGTCATCCAATCCATGACATCATCATTTAAAGATAAACACAAGACAGACGATTGGAGCTCTAAGTGGCAAACAGCATCAACCTTTCGCGACCTTTTTACTCCTCTGCAGCAACAGCACGAGTGTAAATGAGCTGAGAGTGATGACCAAGCACCTTTGAGATACTTCCATTCTCTGCTAGTTCATGGATCGAGGCACGGGCAAGTGCTGCATTCACTTTGAGACGTTCCACAATAGCTGAAGCCGTAATCAACTTCATCTTGGGCACCTCCACCAAGAGACGCTCATATGTCTCTTGATCATACAGGACTTTGTTGGCAACTTTCTCACGAACTTTGCCCTTAGACCATTTTTTCTTCCCCTTGCCTTTACCACCAGCCATAGCGGCGGCCATCTTTTGTTCCTTGGTCTTTTGCTGCGTTTTTGGCGGCTATCACGTCACGTCATTCAAATGATCACAAGAGCATTAGTACAATACAAATGGGATACATATACAAAGATCAATGTTAATGTCATTGCAGACTGTAGATAAGAGTAAACACTACAAGACTAGACACTGCTACTATTGCTATTGCTATTACTGCAGCTCTCTATCCTTTTCTTGTGTCTTAATGCTGTATGAGCTAGCATATGTGTATTTATATGATAGCAATAGCAGTAGCTTCTCTTTATCTTCGTATCACAATGCTCATGCTATTTCTAGTCTTTGATTTTTATCATGTAAATAGAAAGTTTCTTACCATATTCACTTAATGGTCCTTGTTACTACTACGATCCCTGTTTAATGAGCTACTGCAGCTTTATATGAACAATTGAAGCAGTCCAGAGACCTCGACCAGCCATCCCTCGAATTAACCGGTTACGACCTCAAGACCGGTTCCAATTTCAAAAGTTAACGTTTTGAATTGTAAATATTCGTTCTAGTGTCCGAATATTGTCATTAACGACTCACGTATCCGACCACTTGCTGCTTCAATGGCTGCATTCTGGAGGCCCGGTGCAACGCTTCCAGGCGCTGATACGGACAATGACGAATCTAGAGACCTTCCAAAGGGTATAGAAATACCATCTGTTCAGTTTAATCCGTTTTATAAACTCTCTTTGCGTGAACAGCGAGCTCGTTTGCCAGTGTCGAGACATCGCAAGGAGTTACTTTATGCTGTCGAAACGCACGCTACGACGATTCTCGTGGGTGCTACAGGATCAGGAAAGACGACACAGGTGCCACAGTATCTATTGGAAGCAGGATGGGTAAAATCTTGGCCAAGAAGAGCTTCAACGGGTGGAAATACGCCTCCGAATCGGATCATTGTATGTACACAACCTCGACGTGTTGCTGTTATCACGATTGCAGAGCGTGTGGCGCAAGAAATGGGCTGTCAATTGGGTAAAGAAGTTGGTTATGCTGTCAGATTTGAGGACAAATGGGATCCAGAGCTTACGAAGATCAAGTTTATGACGGACGGACTATTGCTTCGGGAAGCGATGCGAGACCCGCTGCTATCGCGTTATTCAGTTGTAATGCTGGTAAGATTAGCAGTTGTAGTAGTTTGTGTATTGTGTTTCATCACATAGAATAGCTCTAGTAATGTGCTGACTGAGGTAATTGTGTGCGTGTGAAAGCAGGATGAAGCTCATGAACGAAACTTGGAAACAGATTTATTGCTTGGAGTGATGAAAAAAATTCAGCGAAAGCGACAAGATTTAAGGATAGTTATTGCATCAGCTACGTTGCAAGTAGATACTTTTGTACGCTATTTTCGCTCAAGAAAGAAGGAAAAACTGCAGGATCAGGAAGTAGCAAGATCAGTAAAAACATCACCTGTGCTGAACGATGTTGTTGCAATATCGGTGGAAGGACGGCAATTTCCTGTCGATATTGAATATCTCCAGGAACCATGTGGAGATTATTTGCACAAAGCGATTGACACGGTGTTGGCTATTGACAAGCACGAAGGTGAAGGTGACGTGTTAGTGTTCTTGCCTGGCCAGGAAGAAATCGATTGTGTCGTTCGAGCGCTCAACGACCAAGCGCCTGCTCACATTGTCGCAGTACCTCTATACGGGACGCTGCCTTTGCACATGCAGCGAAACGCATTTTTACCAGCACCTCGAGGCATACGGCGTAAAGTAATTGTGGCAACCACCATTGCAGAAACTTCCGTGACCATCGAAGGTGTGGTATTTGTGGTGGATGGATGTTTTACTAAGCTTGCATTTTTCAATCCTCTTACAGGAATAGAGGCACTGCTTACGGCACCTGTATCCAAGGCCTCAGCAAAGCAGAGAGCAGGTCGTGCAGGACGTTCACGTCCTGGAAAGTGCTTTCGTCTCTGCACGCAAGAATATTTTCGCACCAAACTCGCAAAAGAGACGATACCGCAGATGCAGCGCACAAATCTGGCAACCATGGCGTTGTATTTACTGAGCATCGGTATTCAAGATCTGGCACACTTTGATTTTGTGTCCCCACCGTCTCCTGAGGCCCTCATTCGTGCTCTGGAGTTGCTGTTCTCACTCGGTGCTATCAACACGGACTGTCGTCTAACAGACCCACTAGGCACGCAGATGGCTGAGTTTCCGGTGGCACCGACGTTAGCAAAGGTGTTGCTGTCGTCCTTCCGCTTCGATTGCACGCGTGAGATGCTCAATATCGCTAGTGTGCTGTCTGTGGGGGATGTTTTTTTGAGTTCACGCGGTTCCAAAGTGAAACAAGAAAAAGTTGCGAAAGCCATGGAGTATTTTGCACACCCGGACGGGGACCACATGACATACTTGTCTATCTACGATGAGTTTGTGGATAATGACAAGAGCCGCTCGTGGTGTGACGAGTATATGCTCAACCACCACGCACTTATTCGTGCAACAGAAGTTTGTCGGCATCTGAAACGGTACATGGTACGCTTTAAGACGTTAGCGAGTGTCAGTGCGGCGAAACGTGAAGAAGACTACGTAAAGCTTGGCCGAAGCAGTGATGAAACGACGGATAAGGCTCGCAGCGATACGATTCGCAAGTGTGTAGTCAGTGGCTATTTTGCAAATGCCGCTAAGCTGCACAGTGACGGTGTCTACCGTACACTGCGCGACCAGCGGCCCGTACAATTGCACCCAACGTCCGTGTATTATCACATGGGGACGCTTCCTGACTGGATTATATTCCACCAGAGTGTACTTACTACAGAAGAATTTGTTTGTGATGTATCTAAGATTGACCCGCGTTGGCTCGTCGATCTAGCGCCAGAGTTTTACCGCACAAAGGAGATTAGCAATGCAATATCAGGAAGCTCTGGCGCGCTAGGTTTACCGTCCACCTCGTTGGTCGTGTCAACGAACAAGAAGCAAAAGACCAAAGTCTCTGAGGCCGACACACCTCCACGAGAATCATCTATCGGCACAAATGGCCGTATTCTATTTCGAAAACCAAACCGCTCTGGCCAGGAAACAAAACCAAAGCTACCTGTACACATTGGCAAGAGTAAAGGTGGTTTACGGTCACAATTTTAATTTGTCTATTGGAGGTCACGTGATTTTTGATCCCGTCACGAAAACGTTCATTACTATCGATACACAGCTACTCTTTTACACCAGCTATAGGTGTACTCTCTCTCTCTCCAAATTAACTGTCGGATCCTGCACGTAGTCGTCGAACTTCCAGTACTCGCATCTTTCGCTGTCGTCGTTCAATGGATTCACGTTGTCGATCAAAGACTGGTACACTGTAATCCTGAAGTGATACGTAGGACGAACCTCGTTGCGAGATTTCACTGGGAGCGACACTCAAGAATTCATCCAAGACGACGCTATGTTTTGTTGCTGGATGACGAATTGCAAGTGTCAAAATCTCTTGAAAACGTCTTTTTCGCTGTTCCACAAGTCGGACATCATGACGTTTCAAATACGTCCACATTCCGGCACTTGGTAATGATGGAAATGATACTTTCTTGTAATTTGTATTGGATAATGGTGGACCTTTTGCCAAGATTGCAGCACTATGTGGACTTAATGGAATATGAGTCTCTGGTCCATTCTGATCCAGACCTGACGCTTGATGTTTTTCCAATTGCGTCTGATTGTTTTGATACGCATTCAAGAGACGATTGAGTTCAGTATGAAGATTCTTGAATGCTCGAAAACGACGACGGATTGTGTAAGTGGATAAAATCCCGTCTGGACCTTTAATATCCACGTGATACATGACAATTCCTTGATTATTAATCGAATGATTATTTACTTCAATTGTCACTCCGTGATACGGATCGGTATAGTCTCGTGAAGTACAGACTTCACTTGGAGATGTATCGTGATCCGTCTCCATGTTCCAGAAATTAAGCACATCAAAGCCAGTAATGTCGCTTGTATAGCTATCACGTAATGGAACTGGATCGGTGAGACCGATGGAAGGTTTCTCTAATGTTGCTAGACTGTGACGATTCGTCACACTTGGTGATAAAGTAACCGAGGACTCGAAACGTGGTGGAAGAGCAGATTCACTCGAACGAAAGTTGTAGGAAGGTGGAGCAACGACGCGCATTGTTGTTTGTTGGTTGTTGTTGATTGTCGTCTTCCAATGTAACTTTAATAATGCCACTATTAATAGTAAGAGAGTAATAAAACTCAAACAACCGGGTGGTGGGGTATACAGTGCAAAATGAGAAATGAAAACATGCCTCGACACATTTTGGGGTTGTTACTACGATACGGCTCTAGAAGCTGTCGCCGTCGCAGATTTTTGAACACCAAGTGCTATCAGAAAAAACACCAGTTTTTCAAGCTATTTGTTGGTATTAAGTTGGATCATTACAAAGTCACTGTATAATGATGCTCATAACCCTATATTTCTACACAAACTGCACAAGTATACAACATTTGCACCGAAAGACTGCTTTCTTTCATTTAACTTGTATGGCTTGTATGGAGTTGTACAACATTTTGTCTTCCCTACTCTTGTCTCTCTCTCTCCCACGGCAATCAGTACGATATAAATAGAAACAGATCAAACAGATTGAACCCTTCCACAAACAAGCCGTTCAAACTGACTCGACGAATTTTTCGACATGATTGACAGCTGGTACAAAAAGCTAACGCCGTGCCTAAGGGTTCATTCCTGGTCAATTATCCCGATGGACCGACCATGAATGGTTTAGTCACCATCGTCATCTTAACCTCATCAGCTGGTTTATATATACATATTTAAGATAGATAGTGTGCGTTTCTTACACCTTCTGGACTAGGAGCTGAGCCCGTGTTAATAACCGTTGAATCTTTCTCCACTCTTCACGATCACGGGAGCAACAAGTAACTAACTAGAAGTTTATTTAAAGTATGGAGCAGTATACAACTCTCCTCAATTCCTCATGGTCGAACTTGTCACGGGCGTGACGTCACACATGTGTATGTATATCTATCTTAACAGTAGTGGTAGTGTGAATGGTGTCGCTGAATGAGAAATCGTGCTGAGCACTTTTACTTCTTTACTCAAATTTGGTATCATGTGCATATCATGTATTAAACTGCTCTTCTTCGTCTTTCCAATTCGCTTGCTTTTATCTTGTCACGTATTATGCATCTTCTGATAAACGGCGATTTCGGGTCGTAATCGCATCCAAAATCATGACAAGGTTTAACGAAGCTGAGATACGATAAGAGCTTGAGCCTTCGTGAAAATGGCCTGATTCACATGCTTACTGGTGCCGATACATGGCACAGTAATGGCTTGTTTTACTGCACAAAGCAAACGCATTAGCACGAGTATAACATCTATATGAACAGCCTACATTTCACCATATCACATATACGATTGTATATGGTGATAAAAAAGACCATGGACATCGGCAATAGCATAATGCATCCATTCTCTTAGCTGTCTATAACAAGATAAAGTAACTCCAATGCTTTTCTCATTTCGTTGCTAGATGGTCAGATTCAATAAGCTTTCAAAACGACGGCATCCAAGCAGAAGGGTTAATTGACACTTTCAGAGCAGACGACGAAAGTAATCATTTTTTCACCTTTTTTTGTAATCGTGACATAGAACCAGATCGATCATAATCGTCGAAGGAAAAACAAAGTGTCGCACGAATTGAGGGACACTACATTTTATCATCCATTAGAAGGTGTTATGCAGGACTTTATTATGACAGTAATGTAGAAGACATTCACAACAAGACAAGGAAAAAAATGCAAAATAAGTTGATACATCTTGCTCTTGGCAACGAAATTGACGTCGTTTGGTAGCAAAAGCTCGAGGTTTGCTTCACACCACTGGAAAATCGATAGGCCGTAACACTCACTTACTCATTCGAGTTTGAACATCAGCGACACTTTAAGTTTTTGCGTCAAAAAGTTGAATGATAAACTCGACTTTAAGTAAATAAGAAGACGTACCAATCACGAGCACTCGACTGCTGGAACCATTTGTAGCTGGATTCATGTTGGAAAACTATGTACATCGCAACGCTTACGGTTTGCTCGCGTGAAAAAATTACCACTGACTATTACCACACTCTTTTCTGTCGCTACTGCGTTCTTTTGTTGTATCCTTCTTTCTTCCCTGACTGCTTCACGTTCAATACTTGACAGTGTCCTATAAAACGGATCTCTTGCCAAACTAATCTCAATACTCCACCACGCGTGTCGAGTTGGTGCTGGCGCTGCTGTTTCGACGATACTGTTGCGCTCGTCGCTTCCGCTCTCTTTGCTCCTCCTCGGGGTCCAGCGTAGGTACGCTGTATTCACAGAGCGACACATAGGAGGAGCCTCGTTGTCGAATGGCACATGGTGCTACACTCAAAAACTTTTGCATTGCAAAGGATTCACGCAGAAATGCCATTTGTTGCACTGCTTGTAGCAGGTCCTGGAAACTATCGCATCTTGATTGCAAGTACGATCGATCGTGTCGTTTCCAGAACGTGAGAAATCCGGCGTGAGGTAATGGAGGTAATGTAAATGCCATGATGGCACACTCGAGTTTATCCTCTTGTGTCATCGCTTCGACCAGCATGGGTGTGATCCCTCTAGCAAGTCTGGATACAGCTTTTCTGCGATAATATGCTTGTCTGTTCTCGAGAATCTCGCTAAGCTGAAGGTGCAGATTTTTAAAGTCAGAGTAGCTGCGACGGATAGTGTATGTTTGCAAAGGGGCGTCGTGGTCTACCACATCAATGTGATACATGACTTTTTTCTCTCTTCCACGCATGGAGAAGCCCGAGAGCACAAGGTCTTTGGAGATTTCTAACGACGATGTTGTGGAATGTCCACTTAACACCGTCGATTGGCCAAGTTCCTGTTGTTTTATCTGCTGCTGCTCGTGTTTGTCCGTCAAATCTAAATGGTGATTCGCTACGCCAAACTTTTCAAGCTCAAGTTCATCGTCTGTACAGCTCATTGTAGCATTGGACGCAGCGATAGACGAAAGCTCTCGAGGCTTGTGCACATCATCCTCGTCCATGGGTTGTGGCATGTCCTCCGTCTCACATACTGGGTTAAGCGTCGCGTACATACTTGCATTCAGATCCATAGCATCGGCCTTTATTGGTGATGGGTTGAGCGCTGCAAAATACCAACCTGGTAGGCAGTCTACTCCCGTCTCAAGCTGCTGGCCACGGGAAACAATTGATTCCGCCATGGACAGAGAAAATTAACTTATGAGTTGACCAAATACCAGCTGTGGAGGGAAACCGTAAATCCCCCCCCCGTCTTTGAGCTTTAATTCCCGTCCTTAAGATCGAAGTTTTCAGTCTAAAAAATGCCTGAAATCTTAAAAATTTTCGAGAAAAATCAATTGACTGTGTACAAAAGGACTTCGGTTTCAGTAGTCTAGTTTTTAAAATAGCGATTTTGGAATGCTAGGGGAAGTAAATGAAAAAGTATGAACGGGTTTCAAGCCACCTGATTCGAGCCATGCTTTTGCCTACCAGTTATAAGTCTGTATGCAGCTGTTCGTTTACATGGACGTCTACTTTGGATGCTTTTTTGTACAAAGTAAAATGTCGACAATGTTGAACCATTTGTTGTCAACATAATTGGGCGGATACCCAGACAATGTTTATTCAAGTTACTGCACACGACTCCAGTGTTTGTAGATCGTTTTACCATCAATGTAATGATACGGTGTTAGAGTCATGTAGTTTATTGTATTGCCTGTGTATCGCTCGCTACCATTTACCAAAGCTAGAATGAAAACGATGAAAGGTCGGTTGGTAGGCCGAGCATCGAGAGGACAAGAAAAGTTGATAGCGTGTATACACAGCAATGCTTTTTTGGATGCCAATCTTTTAAGAATAGTCAATTGTGCGCGAGAGAGCGTGTTCTTGTGGATGGTCGGATTGAAGGCTGTCATCGCTTGTCGATCACATAAACTGCACGATGAAGAGCTGGAAGATCAGGCGAGTAAGCATTTTGTGCCATGCAAGCACGTCCACTCTTTAATCAAGCTCAAGACGTGACGAGTGATTGTAAGATAAGACAAGGTATTTTGACTTAGTCAATCCAACTTTCGTATGAAAGCAATTGAAGCGTCCTAACGCCTTCTTCACATGTAAGTCATTGGCGTTGTGCTCTTAACTGATGAGCACACAAAAATGCTGCATCTTTCTCAGTTGCAGCATTGATTATTTCGAGTCCTCTCTGCATAACGTGTCGAGCTGGTTGTCCAACTAAAGTATTTTCAGTCACACTAATTAGCGACACCGTCTGGACCTTTCATAAAGCGTATGGACTGCCGTAATGCTTACCAGGGCTTTTTTTTCTTACCTTTCCAGCGTGGTCTCCGTTAGTCTCGTCAAGGCGATTTGTTCAGTTGGTGCAAGCATAACATTTTGCGTCAGCATGTCTCTTTACTTTTTCTTCTCTTGCCTGACCATTGTAACGGCGAAGCTGGTGCGATTGCTACCACGATACATGTGAGAGATGCAGCACGAGCTGCTCAACTTCCACCGCGACAAGACTGATCCAACGATCAACAAACAAAAGCGTGTTCACAAACTCACGCAAAGGTGAAGGATGCCGTTGACCCCCGTATGTAATCGAGGACATGGGTGGGGCAAAATCCTCGCAGCTATGGAAGCGCTAGGATCTACACTAGCGTCTGTACGATACTGAAGTGTGGGTTGCTATTGCTCATCAACCAGTCCACTAACCTCGCTAGCTAAACATTCCACCTGCAAGTACAGCCCAATCTTTTCACATAGCTACTTAAAATTTTATTAGATAGTTGACGTATCATGTTGATGCTAGTTCTTGACCACGAGTGTGCTTTGTGCGATAAAGGTCGCCAGCATTCTACGTAGAAGCATTCTAGAGCATTCCGTCGCTAGATACTCGTTGCAATGCGTCCAGTATGACCATGATTCTAGAACTTAAAACGTGTTGTGTCCTGAAATAAATCTTCGAGTCAGCCTCATTGACTTGTCGATCACTAGGTGACGTTCAAGGATTCCAAGAAAGTGGTAATTTGGTTGTTCATTATGTTCGATATTTATCGCAACCATTTTGCTGCCCTTGGATGCACCATCGGACTTTGTTTGCGATCAACTGCTCTGGATCGTAAGCTCAGGTGTTGCAGTCATAAGGGGTCTCAGCGTTCGTTGTGAATACGGCTGACGAAGCGAATCTAAGCTCTCCGGGCAGTTTCTGCCAAGGTGATCGTTGCTCATGCAACTGTTGTGTGCTGGCACAATATTAGTGCTGCCCGCTTACCGATGCTACAGGATGGTCACATGCATTCCACTGTTTTACTGTAAAGGTCTTTAATTTGCTTTTATTCCGTCAATGTCTAATGGTAAAGGAAGAAACCAACTTGGTGTTTATGAGCGGCAACTTCGTTTTCTTTACTATACAAAACCCCACAAATTTGTACACCTCGTGCACATATGCACATTATAAAGGCCTTAAGCTGACCACGATCCTAGGTGCTAGAGACTCTCTTGACTTATTTGCCGACCAGCAAAGGAAAGCTTACGATTGCTTCGATAACTTCCTCGATCGATCAACACAATCCTGTCTCTCAACATGCAACGTCTCTTAAATAACTGTGTGTTTACCTGATAGTTCTGAACCGATTCCAAGCTTCTTTTGAGCGAGATGGCGATGATGAGGCTGCAGCTACCAGATAACACCGATGTTCTAGTTCACTTCTTCGCTATTAGAATCTCTCGATTTTGATGATTGCGCGTGAATAATTGGCTTCGTCGTCGTCTTCTTTGCCCGCAGTGCAAGCTTTTTTATCGGTTCTGCCTCTTTCCGAGCCAAAAAGCACTATAATGGTGAGCTTGTCATATTGCACCTGGCCATTTCTATCATTATCTCATCATATATAGCACAACTATGCCTAGCTTCAATGTTATTATATCACAAGGTAGAAAGAGTAGAGAAATGCAATTGGTGTAGCTGCGCACGATAGTTACATGTAAATGTAGCCATTTTAATGGATAACATAGGGTATATCTCGGTGGAGACGGGGCAAAACCCCCTTCGACGATCGTAATAATGCCACGCATGCATGAGCAGTGATGCTATACGCTACACTTCATTTTAATGTAGTGCAACTGCTCCCAGCTACAACACTGACAGTCTCGTGAATGCATTCGATTCAGATGAGGATATAATTAACGTTTACGTAAGACAACAACTCTTTATCCTCCCGACTGAGTTGCTTTTTTTCTACAAAAAGCAAATACAACGTACAAAAACCAGTGTTTCCCCTGTCAAACTCGATTGCACTACGCGACAACACCCTAACACCAAGCTCTTTGGCTCACTCACTTAAAGCACAATCAAGGTAGTCCCTCCCTTCTCTAGGTTTCCCTGACCATCACTCTTTGTCCGCACTATGGAGGGAATCCGTGTGTTTATTCCGGACGAAGAATTAGTTTGGGTGCCAGCCACAGTCCTATCAGTGGATGCAAGCGGCAAAGTCTTCCGCGTGCGTGTAGATCCGCTTCCTGGCACCGCCGATTTTAGCGACGACGTCAATGTGCCCGCAAAAGAGCGTACAATTGATCTAAAAGAAGACGGTATGCCCGATTCACTTCCTTTGCAGAATGGTGAAATTGAGGATGATGAGCATGACAGCAATGTAGTTAAGACGCAGCATTGTGTTGGGGCCGAAGACATGTGCAAGCTAGGGCACCTTCACGAACCCGCAATTGTATACAACGTGCGCAAGCGCTTCTTCGCCAAGGAGCCGTATACGTATACGGGTAAGATTGTTGTTGCCGTGAACCCTTACAACTGGATTAAAGAGCACTACTCGGAGGAGCTACGCGAGCTGTACACACAGCGGCCATGGGATGAAATGCCACCTCACGTGTACGCTACGAGTGCCGAGGCTTTCCTTCACATGAAGAATCACCGTATTCCGCAGAGTATTCTCGTAAGTGGAGAGTCTGGCGCTGGTAAGACGGAGACAGTGAAGATTATGATGGAGCATCTTGCGAGTATTTCCATGGGTATCGCCAAGAGATTGCATCCTGCTAAAAATGGAGAGACCATTGTAGTGGAAAAGGTGTTGAAGAGTAATCCTTTACTAGAGGCTTTTGGGAATGCTAAAACAATCCGCAATGACAACTCCAGTCGGTTCGGAAAATTCACGCAGCTACAGTTTAACAGCGACTATTGTCTCGTTGGCGCAGAGTGTCGTCATTATTTGCTGGAAAAGTCACGTGTTGTGGCTCAGGCTGTGGGTGAACGCAATTACCATATCTTCTACCAGTTGGTTTACGCCAAGGAGAAGATGTTTGGCTTTAGCGATGAGACGTCGGCTATGGAGTTCCGGTTCTTGCAGGATGAGAAGCTCACGCTGGACGGAAAGACCGATCTTGAGCGGTATCAGGTAACTCGTGACGCGCTGACGACCATTGGACTCAGTGATAAGGAACAGAATGAGCTTTTTAGTGCCCTCTGCGGCATCTTGCGTCTCGGCCAGCTTGACTTTGTGCCGCTGGAATCCAATAAGGACGACGCAAGCCAGGCCGTGGCTTCCTTAAACACATATTCTTCTTCTAAGACCGTTGTAGAGCAGATTAAACAGCAGAAGAAAGAGATTGAGCTGTGCGCAAAGCTCCTTGGTGTGGAGGTAGCAGCGCTCAGCAAGCAGCTTTGCAGTCGCACTGTTAAGGCAAGACAGGAAGTGTATTGTGTGCCGTTGTCAGCTCATCAGGCCGGCAACAATCGCGATGCCCTGGCAAAAGAAATTTACGCGCGAGTGTTCGGCTATTTGGTGCGTAGAGTAAATTACAGTATTTCAAACTCAGCGGACAGAGGCACTTCGACGCCATCGTACCTACACATTGATTTGCTGGATATCTTCGGTTTTGAGTCATTCGAGCACAACAGTTTTGAGCAATTTTGCATCAATTTTGCGAACGAAAAGCTGCAGCAGAAGTTTACGATGGATGTCTTCAAAACAGTGCAAGAGGAGTATCAGCAAGAGGGCGTGGCTTGGGAGTTTGTCAAATATCGTGACAATCAAGACATGCTGGATCTTTTGGAGAACTCAATGGGCGTAATGGCGCTGCTTAACGAGGAATGTGTACGTCCAATGGGCAGCGATCTGTCATTTGTTTCCAAGCTGGTGTCACTGCGTGAGTCGCACCCCCGCCTTGAGAGAGCTCGTCTGAGTCAAATGCACTTTCGGCTTTACCATTATGCAGGCCCTGTGACATACGACGCGGAAGGTTTCGTCGAGAAGAACAAGGATTCACTTCAAACCGATTTGCTGGAGCTGCTGGGCACGAGTTCAAATGGTTTGATGTCAATGGTATTTGGTGACAATGACAACACTGCGTTCATGACGGACACGGATTTGGCCGTTCATGCCGCAGTCATCATGGATACAGGGCGCCGTGGTACGGTTAGTCGAAAAACATCTACGTTCATGCAAGAAACTGTAAGCTACAAGTTCAAGGCGCAGTTATCACTATTGATGAGTGACATCTCCAGCACCGAGGTACACTACGTGCGTTGCATTAAGCCAAACTCGCAAAAGAGTCCCAATATCTATGACATTGATGCAGTTGTGAATCAGCTTCGTTGCGCCGGAGTCGTTGAAGCTATTCGCATTACACGTGCTGCCTTCCCGAACAAGATAGCACACGAAAAGTTTCTGCGTCGATTTGTGATGATGAGAAGTCCTAAAAATCTCACATCTGCGTCTACGACTGTTATGGAAGCTTGTGAGCAACTTGCCAAGGAATTAATGAGTGGCGAAGACTTTGCTCGAATGCAAGAAGGCATTGATCATTCAAGAGGACCAAACTTTATAGTCGGAAGAAGTTTGGTCTACTTTGGTAAGGACGTGCTTGAGTTTCTAGAGCACAAACGCTCGACATTTGTGTACGACCGAGCGGTCGTGATTCAGCAAATTGTGCGCCGGTGGATGGCACGGCAAAGAATCAAGAAGGTCTGTACTATGATTTCTAAAGTCCAGGCTCTTTATCGCTGTCGTATGCAGCGATTTTCGTTTTTAGAGAAGCGGAGGAAGATTATTGTTGTGCAAAGCGTGTGGCGTGGAGTGCGCTCCCGCCAGTGTTTGTATCGGATGATGAAGGATAAGAGCGCGCTAAAAGTTCAAGCAGCGTACCGCAAACATATTTCGGAGAAAAAGTATGCCGAGCTTCGTTGTGCTGTCATCAAGATCCAGTGCACCTTCAAGATGAAGAACCAAGTGAATAGGTATCGTAAACTTTTGTCGGAACGAAAGGAACAGGATGCTATGGAGACCGAAGTAGATCTTTTGAAACACCGCCTTGAGGACGAAAAGCGTGCCCGCTTAGAAATTGAAGCAGAGAACTCATCGTTGCAGCAGGAGCTGAATCAGGTCCGAAATTTTTCTGTATCTAGCGTTAATAATAGCAGCATGTACGAGAATGAAGCTCCAGGCATGTCCCGAAACAGCATTCGGTCAAGCAGAATAGAACGAGAGTCGGCGGAAGACGGCAAGTTGCTCGACGACTCTGAGCGCATGATTGATTATCTGCGAAAAGAGGTCACTAAAGGCCGTGAGCTATCTCAGGCATTGTCACAAGAGAATGAGAACCTGAAGGCCGAAAACAAGAAAATTAAGGATGCATACACAGCTGCTGGTGCATCGTTTGCTGCGCTGAATCAGCACAACAAACAACAATCGAAAGCCAACCTTCGGCTCATGAGCACCCACGCTGCTCTGATCAAGTCCCAGGAAGAAAAAATGAAAAAGTACAAGAAGCAGGTGGCAGAGCTGAAGGAGGATCTGCGGATGCAGCGTTCTGTGTACTCTGCAGAGCTCAAGGCCCGTGTGCAGCAGCAGGATGTGCTGATCGAGATTATTAATCTAGCGAAATCCGATGGTGTGTCAGAGGACCTGTTGGATCGCATGCGAGCGATAGCCGTCGACTCGAGGCCCTCGTTTGACAGCGGAAGGCGAAGCAGCGAGTATACTGATCGCCACTCTTCGTAAGTTGATTAATAAATACTTTATGTTGTGGTTGTATGAACCGAGCTAACTTTTGTCGCTATGTCAGTGATGCTATCGCGATGCAGTACGAAAACCGGTTGGACACGGCGACTTATTTGGGACCCGTGCCTGTTTCGGTGTCATTCAGCTCCAACTCGTCCCATGTTGAGCGCCGCGCCACTCTCGACACGATTATGAATAACTCGGTGCCGCGTGGAGTGTCGCCGCAAGCGGAGGAAATGAGTCCTTCCGATCGCGGAAGTTTCAACAACCTTACCGCGGAAAACGGCCACCGAAAGTCTCGAATTGGAGGCATGTTTAAGAAAATGTTCAAGAAGGATGAATAGTTGGATGCATTCGACAGGTGCGTGTGTGTGCTTACTGGAAGTAGTAGAAGGACCAGGAACATGTGGGGAGCATAATTGTGTCAGCAAAGTCCCATTTGCGGCTCCGGGTTTACATGTTAATACGAGAGCCCATGTCTTTTGTTTTCTTTTCGCGTCAGTGGATCTAACAGCTCATGAATAGCACACCGCAGTATACGGCACATGTCAACCAACACCCGTCAAGTCCAGACACACTTAGTTGAATGCTTAATCTGAAAACGAGTAAGAAACCAATAGACATTCTGGGCGGACAAATCGTAGATCTTGGGCCCATCTCGCCGAGCTGCCACACAAGGAAGCTGGAAACAATAAAGATGCCTCTAGTACTCGGTGGTTGGTCACCCGCCGGTATAACTCCCGAGGCCCGCGCCGCCTTGGAGCGCGCTTTGATAGGATCTAGTCTTACCGTCACTAAAGTGTTGTCCGTGCGTTTGCAGGTCGTGTCCAGTGGCTCGCACGACCAAGTTGCTCGCTCAGTTTCTGGCACAAGTCTTCAACCAGCCCTGGACTAACACCACAGAACTCAAGTTTATCGTCGCGGTCCCGAGCGCCAACGTGAAGTGACCGAGATTTAGGCATGAACGAATTGTTGACTCGCAAGCGACTTTTGCTTGCTATCATTCCTTACGTACTGCAATACTAACGGTCGCTTACGCAGCTTCTATCTACTACGAGCTTGATATGTTTCGTGTTGACTGCTTTATTTTGAATATGACTTTTTCCATGTCAGTTCTGAAAGATTACCAAGATTAAGCACACGGCTTCAAAGGGAACAGGGGCAACTCGTCGCTTTCTTTACTGCTTACCATCTTGGACTTCCGCACACGAGATTTCGTGCAGGTAAATCGATGAAACACGATACCGTGTGCCTCTATTTCATAAGCAATAACGCAAGCAGGTCGCCATGATGTTGCACGACTGATTTGGATTGATAACAAGATGAGACAACCGGGCTTGTTCGCACATCATCATCATCATCCTACTTAGTCATTATGCCACAAACCCAATGCTTTCACGTCTTGTTTGACATCTGTACTCGAAGTATATGTAGTCGTTGAAATACCGTGTATTTCAGACTCTTTATCCTCTACATTTATCCTGCAAAATCTGCTGATGATGATCGTATTTTGCACAATGCTACACGTACGTATCATGTTTCGCCTAGACATGTCACGAGCTCCTGCCTTTTACTCTTTGCACCCACCTGTAATGACCCAGCACCGAGTGCTTTCGAAGATACCGAGCAAATTTGTTAAAATCGCCCATACTAACGCAAACGATAAATATGAGATAGTAAGCGTGCCCATCCAGCGACTGCTGCCACCCAACTTTTTCAAAGCCTGCGCTTCAGACTTTTGGCGGGGCAACAAAGGTAGAAAAGCAAGTGCCAGGAGTTTCATCGCATATGAAATCAAGATAGTAATGGTCACGTCGCGACGCACCTCCTCCGTGTCGTTCAAAATGTCTTCGTTATATACCTTAAAAGCTGCATTCACGTTCTTTGTCAGCGTGAGGGCAAATGGCCCACCTAAGTTGCTCACTGTGGTCAATAAGCCATATATCGCTCCTTCGTTGCCATGGCCGGCTAGCTCGACGACCACATATGTCGAAATGATGAAACCAACAGCATCCGGCACTGCCTCAACAACCGATACGCCCAGCCAAAACCACTGCTTACGAACAATGTTCCACGTTACTAGCATGGTGCACATGGCGTCGAGTACAATTACACTCACCATAGTCACCACTTGCATCGTCCGCCAATTCCAATGCAGTCCATACTTTCCCGTCATCGTAAGCGTGATCACTGTCACAAAGCTACCAAAAATGCTGCTCAGACTCAAATTGAAGCTCGTTGCGTGGACCCAATACGATGTCATTGGGTCCTGAGCCACATAAGTAAATCCACTAAATACACCTGATAGGAAACTGTAGGCAATCACCTGGTATACCGCACGACTCTGGATGGCACCCCACAATTCACCAATGTATTTTTGAAACGTTTGTCGTTCCTTTACAACTTCTTCACGTACATACATCCACGTCATTGGAATAACAGGCAGACAGAATATTGCCAATAATAACATTGCATCTGGAAACGAGAGTCCAAACTCAAAACTGCCACCATAATCCGACGAGCTCAGTCCAAAACCTGTAATAGCTTGAGCAAGTACATTAAACAGCGTCCGGACTGTATAAATTGCCGTTTGAGTGCGTCCACGTATTTCTTCTGGTTCACGTTGTGCATATTCCACCACCACAGCATCTGCTGCGACATCTGCAAATAGATATCCAAGTGTAGCAAACATCATGAGTACAATATATTTTGCTCCACTACTAGGTGCATTTTTATTCAGTGATTGAATCATCTCAGGTGAATAATCAATTGGTTTAATATTTCTCATTGCTGGATCAGGAAAATATGGAGCTTCAATTGTTGACATGGCCATCATTAATAGACATACAACTGTTACAGACCAGCCTAATACCATATATGGTCTTCTTCGATAGCCAAATAGTGGTATACAATCCGAAATAACACCAATAAAAACTTTAAAACTCCATGGAATTGAAATTAATGCTCGAGCGGAGGTTGTCATAGTACCTTCCATATTTAAATAGTAGGTTAAAAATGGTGTAATAGTACTAGGTAAAACACCATAAACAAGTCCAACTGCTGCATATTGAGATATTAATCCAATACATTCAATCGATAACAAGTCAGGTGCAACACCTTGACGTAATGCTCCTTTGGTATGACCAGTATGCAAGTCAGTAGTTGTAGTAGTTAATTTAGTAGGTTTCGGACATTTCATCGTCTTGATTGACTTGGTGGTAGCGAGATCAAGTGTAGAAGTTGGTGAATGATCATCACTCTGTGCACCTTGACGAAGAGAAAAATGTTCATCCATTTGGTCTAATTCAGCCTCTTCATCATCTGCTATTGTCGTTAACGACGTGCGGTCTTCGTCGTTCTGTAGCATACGAATGTTTATGGTGTATTGTTATAGTGGTGTATCATTATTATGTGCACCACATTATGTACGGTATTCTTCTGACTTGTCGCTGCTATTTCTTCACATGAGGTTGGTTATCAACTACTGCAGGTGTTCCTATATAAGACAGAGGGAGAACGAATTTCAAAGGTTAAAGGAATAAAAACCATCTTCTGGTTTTCCAGCATAAAAGATGGGTTTTTCGAGCAATAAATACTAATCATATACCGGTATTAACATACAACTGGTTATCTATACCGACCGACCACTACAAAACGTCACAAGGTGAATTGACAAGGACGTTTTAATGGACAAGTCGTCGCACACGCTCAAATCAAAACGTCGGCGTCAGGAATGGACTTCAACTCGTCGTACGAGAAGGAAAAACTCTATTCTATCATGTACCAATGTATCCATATCAGGAAATACCGAGTCTCAAATCGTATGGAGAGATTCACCTGCAGATAAACAGATTAAAGTGTCTGGAACAGGAAAAATTGCTGTTCGAAGAGAAATGCAGGGGTTTGTAGGGAGATTGGAGCGTGCAAGTCAACAATCATCACCTTTTTCTAGTGATGAAGATAAGAAACTTGAGAGACGCGAGTGGATTCGTACACGACGAAAACAGACGGAAGGAGAAAAAGGTTGGCTACGGTAGTATCACTAATGAGAGAGAATTGTGGTTTATTGTGTATCACACTAATGAGAAATTGCTGCATTTCGAAGCTATTTCAAGATATACGGTGCTCACTGGATTTTTGGAACAAGAAGAAGGAGACGATGGCACTTTGGATGGTCAAAGAACGTCTACTGGTGCGAAGATACGTCGTTCAATTGAAAGAGGAGAGTCACAGGATGAACTTTTTAGTGTCTTGGACAAAATGGAGCAGAAATACGCTAGTTCAGACGTAAAGAGGGTATTGATAGCCTCAAAAACGACGTCTTTTGATCCGAAAGAGCATCATTATCAGCATCTGAAAACTCCACCTATAGCTGTTTCTAGCTCGCAGACGGACACTATGAACTTGACATTATCGGCAGCACCTACTTATTCATTGACTGATGCTCAGTCCGTAAGGTCGGTACGGACTCAGGAGGCAGACAAGACGCATAAGGTGACAACAAGTCGGGACGGTGTCAGTGCTGTAGTAGCAACTGAGGAGCAGGAGGCTATAAAGATGCCCGTAAAGTCGACAGTAGTGGAGGCAGATGCCTTCGATGACCTGACGGACGAATCGTGGGCCTTGCTCGACCAACTTCAAAGTCAACGGGCGCCGGTTGAAGTCACTCAGTCGTCGCAAATGGAGTTAGTGGCTTCACAAAACTGTGCGTTGACTCCACGACCCGTGCCGTCTGCTGCACCTAACGAGCTGACAAGGCCTCCGTTGATGCCTTCAACTAACATTTCAGCTTCAATGGTGCGACCAATGCATGGAGGTCAATTGCTCCATCCGACTGAGAACTACAAGCGTTTTTTGATCTTAGAAGTAGACCGCGATGTTGTTAACCGCTCGCTCCTTTTGCGCCTGTTAGATGACGAAGACGTGCAGTTGGAGGCTATCCTGAGCGATGATTGGTATGACGTGGTTGTGAAAGCTGGCGACACTATCAATATTATATTTACTGAGCAGGATAGTGCTGAGTTTTTTTCGCAAGGAGGATGCGAGGGACACGTTGATCGACAGTTATTGCGCATACAGGTGGATAACACGCACAACATTGTGGTTGTTCACCCAGATATTCTGGTACTTTTAGCGATCTATCAGCTCACTAGAGCGAAAAAAGCATTCATTTTGCTGATTTTTCTTTCTCTTGCTGCTGATGCTCGAACTTCAGGTATCTCCCACCAGAGTAACAGCAAGCTTTGGATGTTTGCGAAGGGCGGTCCTTCAAGAAACTCTAGCTGTCAGTCGTCCGACTAATGAGAAAGCTTTTCTGGGTACATTGAAACATGATCTGTTTGAGCGTGCACTTTTAAATGACTTGTATAGCGCTGAGAGACTACTTGAAGCAGCCGAGCGGATCGTAAAATCCAAGTACGTGTGATCTAAGCTGGATTGAGGTCTCTCATTGCTGACTTATCATCACGCCGTGTGTAAGCAGCACTTTAGGCCTTGTGGAATGCGGATTAAACGAGGAAAAAGCATTGTCAGAGCTACAAAACGTGATCGAAGATTATCGATCGTGGATAAACGGAGCAATTGTCGGATCTGGGACGCTTATAGACGGGACGTCCTCTCAAAATGCATCGAAGGTGTGCGTCAGCCGCGTTTTAGCAACGGAAGAAATGATGTGGTCTACTAAATGGGGTTTAAAAGGTGCCACGGATGCTTCTGTTGCAGGAACCATTGTTGGCTTGCGGAATGGGAAAGAGAGTGACGAGTCTGTCGGAACCGAAGTGGTTCTGCCTCTTGAGCTTAAAACCGGCAGCAAAAAGTATGCTGGCGTCGAGCATCATGGTCAAGTGATCTTGTACACACTACTGCTGAATGAACGCTACCGGCAACGGTGTCAGGAAGGATTGCTCATTTACGTTTCGCCCATCGAAACTAACCGAATCACAGCCATGACAACTCATGTTCGCGGTCTCATCATGGCCCGCAATAATTTTGCCAGTGCTCTTGCTAAAGCAAAAGCGGTCGGTAGCTCAACGTCCGCGCAGGCCCTCCCACCAATGATTCGGAACCGCACGGACTGCGAGCGCTGCTTTCAAGTTGATGAGTGTGTGTTGCATCACGCAGCGACAGAAAATGGCACAGAGGAATCAAGTGGTCTTGACGAGCTATTCACTGCAAAAACAAAACATCTTGGTGAAGCGGACTTAAATTACTTCAAGCATTGGAGCCGACTCATTGATTTGGAACAGCAGCATGCCGAAAAGAACCTTCGAGCACTCTGGCTTCAGGTCGGATTGAAACGAGAGCTGGCACAGGAAAGTACCACTTGCTTAGCACATCTCAAATTAGTAAGCGACACACCAGCACTATCAGAGTCTGGAGCAAAACGAACACTGCGCTTTGTTCGTGATCGTCGAAAAAGAAAAGACATTGATTTGGAAAGCGGATGTAAATCAAATTTACAACCAACGTCATTTGCGGGAGTGCATTTTCGAGTGAATGATCGTGTTATTTTGTCTGCAGAATCGTTGGACGGAAAGAGCTTGCTGGTACATGTGTCTCGTGCCACTGTTTGTAAGATTGAGTATGGATTGGTCACAATAGAGGCGCGCCAATGCATACCGTCGATCGTGATAAGCGGCCAGTCTACCGTTGGTAAAGAGTACACGTGGCGATTGGATAAAGACACAATCATGAGCGGCTTACGTCGCGCAAAGGAAAATCTCGTGCGATTATTTATCGGACCTTCACCCGAAATGATTTCAGCTGGCACGGCCCTGATGAGCCGACCGGAATTACATGTACGCATGGCCTCGATGGCTTTTGTAGAAGGTATGAGCGACGACGATACAATAGGCGTTGGAGATACGCGAAGACGAAACTTGATCGTGCACCTAACTCGTCCACATTTCATTCCAAGCCAGGTAACAGATCTGGTGACACAACGGTGTCAGGGTTGCGCAACCGATGACTATGATGGTAGTGTGGCAGCGCTTGGTCAAGCCTTGCTGGATACATTTTTTGAATTGAATATCGATCAGCAGCAGGCTGTCCAGCGTGTGTTAAGTTCTCTCGACTACGCTTTGGTACTAGGAATGCCTGGGACAGGTAAAACGGCTACAATCGCTTTCACCGTGCGGGTGCTACTATTTCTCGGGTTTTCTGTTTTAGTAACGAGTTATACGCACTCGGCTGTGGACAATCTCCTGTTGAAGCTGCTAGCGTACGAGGTGCCCATGCTTCGTATTGGTAATACCGCTCAAGTGCATCCCCAAATTGCAAACTTCACGCTTGATCGGCAAGCTGAGCGAGAGGGAATTACAAGCGTGCAGACCATGGAGGCTAAGCTGATTAATGCTCAGCTCGTGGGATGCACATGCCTGAGCGTGAATAGTCACGTGCTGTTTACAAAGCGTCGGTTTGATTATTGTATTGTTGACGAGGCCACTCAAATCACACAGCCCATCGCCCTGAGTGCTCTGCGTTGCGCTGATACATTTGTACTAGTGGGGGACCATTACCAGCTGCCACCCTTGGTCGCCAATGCTCAGGCTCGTAAAGAAGGCATGGATGTGAGTCTGTTTCGACGATTAGCGGAAGCTCACCCGCAAGCAACTCAGCAATTGTCTTACCAGTACCGAATGAACAAAGATATCATGCTGCTGGCAAATCGGTTAGTGTACGACAATAAGCTTAAATGTGGTTCATTTGAAGTCGCATCGAACCATCTTGATATAACATGGCAGCGGCAAGATACCATCGAGGAACACCTTATGTGGCCCATTCAAATGCTGACCAAAAAGCAAGGCGTCGTGTTTTTGAATACAGACACGATGGGTGGAGTGACAGTTGAGAGCTTAGGAGCTGCCCTAATGGGTACTAACGGACGTCGACGGATGGAAAACATTGTCGAAGCGCAGCTTGTTGCTGGATTAGTGGAGCTCTTAGTGTTGGGATCGGTGCCAGCCGAGGAGATTGCAATTATCTCCCCATTCCGCTCTCAGGTAGCGCTGATTCGACAGCATCTGACTGGTGTTGCAGCATTCCGCCGGGCTGGTGCATTTGATTGGATTCACTTGATCGAGGTGAGCACTATTGACAAGTATCAAGGCAAAGATAAGGACGTGATCTTAGTGTCGTTTGTTCGATGCAATGAGGAGAAACACGTGGGTGAGCTACTTACGGATTGGCGCCGGATCAATGTTGCTCTAACGCGTGCCAAGCAAAAGCTGCTTCTAGTGGGGTCTAAATCAACTCTCAGTGGCGGCAGTGCACTCTTTCATGTGCTTTCTAGTGTTACCCAACAACAAGACTGGGAGTACAAGCTGTTGCACAATTCTGTCGAAACGCTTCGTCAGTTAGCAGTGCATGTAGCGACTTCTGTAGAACCTGATCCCGAGCAAGGTGCAATGTCGAAATCGCACGTGCGTTCGACAAGCGAAAAGAACGTGAGCGTTTCGATTCTTCAGCGCTCTGCAAGTAGCAACAATGGTGACATTGAGTCACTCGTGCCAGACGTGTCAAATGTGCCAAAAATGCGTCCTCATCAAAGACCTTGTCCAGCACAGTTGAAACCAGTCTCACGTGACATATTTGGCGAAATATCAAGATAAGAAAACATTGTGTAACGTGAAATTTAGACGAAACGTATAAATACAGCCCATTTGTCTAGTAGCTATATCGTTCATCAATATGAATGAGTGATTAAAAGTGGTTGAAACAAGACGTAACTTGACAAATCAATGATGAAAGAAAATGACATTATATCCATTTTTTAAATTCCTTTTTTGCTAAAAACATGCAAGTCAAACCTAATCAAGACAGCAAATGTGACGGCACTTGTCGCAAATGTGACGGCACGTATCGCAAATGTGACGACATTTCCATCTTCATTCTTTCACTGAATGATTCAAGGGTTCACCATGTGGGGTTTCGAGTGATGACTTTCATGACTCGTCTTGTCACCCATCAATTTGTCCTTCACATCATGCATCTTTTCCTTAGCACGCTCCATCATCGAAGGCGACATCGATTTCTCAGCTGCAGTCAGTTGATGGTCCAATGCAGTCAGACTGAAATTGTCACGAATCGTCTTTTCAACAATCGTCTCGACAGTCTCCGAACTTCCAATGATGCCACCACCATTCTTGTCTTGCGTGTGCAATAAACCATGATGTCCTTCCGTCTCCTTCTTGCCAAACAGTCCTCCACCATCTTCACCATGATGCGTATGGTTGTCACTATTCAATATCCCTCCTTCATGATGATGTTCTTCCGTCTCCTTCTTGCCAAACAAACCACCACCGTGTTCGTCATGATGCTTCTGATCGCCATGTTTGCCAAGCAACCCGTGCTTGTTGTCATCCGTGTCATGATTGTGATGACCACCCATGGCAACATCAATCGTGCCCTTAATTCCCTTCGATTGCTTGTTTGCCTTGTCGTAATTGCGACCCGTCATCTTCAAATTTTCCATCGCTTTCGCCGTCGCGTCCATCATATTGCGTGCAGAAGACAACTCCGCCTTCGATCGATGCCCGCTGTGCCTCATTTCACGGGCCACATGCTTCAAACCCGCTGCCGTGTCTTTTGCAGACCGCATGTCATTCCGCAAATACGACGTAGCCGTATTGGAAAAATGGTTACCATTACGGCTATCATACTCCGAAAGATGTTTCTTCAGCAACTTGAGGCAAGCAGATGCGTCACTAGCAGTCTGGTTCAATACATGTTCCAGCTTGACAAATTCTTCCTCGGTTATCGCGTGGTGTTCAGCTGATGATTTGCCCATGGTAATAGTTGCGTCTTCACTGGTGGTTGGCGTCTTCAATGTGTGTCGTTGAGATCAAGTTGTATAATGAATCAACTATGTCCGTCAAAAAGTGACATTCAGACCAACTGGTAAGTCTGATGTAATGATTTATCATGTAGCCAACTTCAATCACTTTTTTCTTAACTTCTCTAGCCATCGTAAGACTTCGTCACCCAACGGTAGTTAGGACACACTACTGGAAGAATTAATAACCGTAAGATGGATGGACCTGGATACTAAAACACTGAGATATAGATCATTCCTGTTCTTTCACAAATTTTTGTCTGGAACGGCTCTAGCGTCTCATGTAATGAATATTTCGCAGGTATACATACATAAGCGGCAGTTTATCAAGTTGAAGCCAATATTGAACTAAGAAGGTGGACGATACGGAAAATTAACTGCCTCAATGTTCGAAAGGGCACACTTGCAGATTGACGAGTGGTGCAAAACGCCATTGAATTGGAAATTATACAGCAGCTTGTAGTGCCGTGCGTGTCATGCATGCATTTGACGTAGGAATGGGTTTGAGAAAACGGCTTCGACGTATGGAAAGAAATAAATGTAGAGGTATTCTTAGGCATTGTGGGTGCTTTTTTGTTACAAGATACGAAAACTTGTAAGAAGCGGAGCGAGGATAGGAGGATGGTCACGCTGCGAACAAGACCTCGAGAATCGGGTCAGACGGGAATTTTGTGGATTTTCAAGACAGTAAGAAGTAATGGTGGCTGCTATTCTAGTGCGACTGGTCAGTGGGGTTTTAAAGCCAAGAGCCAAATTTTCATTGCAGAGAAGTCATTGTCGCGAGAAACGCGTAGGGTTGAAGGCTTGTTATACCCAAAGTGCGACGATACCTTGAAACCAAAGTGCGATGAAATTATTATCTGTCTTGTCGCACGTTACGATCCCTAATTCATACATCATACATAACGATTCATTTTTAAGCGACATTTGCACCTTTTCGTATCAAATCCTAAACCAAACGACGTCCAGGTCGGTCCTTTCGATGAAGGTACTGGAGACTTTTCTGCATTCCAGCAAATAAACTGATCTCATCTAATACAGTTGGAACAATTGTTATGACACACACACGAAGCCACTATTTCGCTGCTGTGTACGCTTCGCTACCTGACTGGCCATCGTTGATGGCTAGTGATCGAGCTCAAAATATGGAGAGTATGTTGTAAGTAGGCAGGCACCAACACCCGTTAGGGAAATTATGCATTACAGTGTCCGCATAGACCATGTTAAAATTTGAATATTATACGCGCAGACTGACGTGCAGCACCGCATGCGCCATTTGCATTGCTAACCGTTTTCTGCAGTTGACGTGCAGGTAAATCTCTTCAGCATTGAGCCTCGATTTGACGATGAATAAGACGTCAGTTACATTGAACCAGTCATATCCACCAGCTCAAAAACTAGTGCGTAACAAGATACGTGCTACACTTTTGGCGAGAGCACGATAGCGTCTCATCGGCTCTAGCCACGAAAGCAGATCATGGCTTCGTAACAGAAAATGCATCGTGGCTGCTGCTGCCTTTTGTATCAGGCCAAACTAGTCCCAATTTGGTATGATGAGATCAACTATTGTTTCAATCACTTTCCGTTTTGCCTACGCTACAACAACCACATATCACATTAACTTTGCTTTGAAGTCGCTACCATGTTACAGCCAAGTCCCAAACCACACCAGAGCGGCGAGGCCCATCCGCTCCTTGAAACTCGAGCGACTTCGCTCACTCAACCATTGGTCAACGTTCGCTTCAGCCGATGGAGCGTGCTTGCTACCATCTCAACTCTGCTGTTCACCGCTGCAGTATTCGGTGTCTTCAAACCAAGTGCCACGACGATGAGAAGTGCAACGACGGTCGCACCTGACGCCAAATTTGATCTCTTCACGCCGATCTTTAACGCTGAAGCCCCACCCAATAGCCTCTTTAACCACACTGACGCACAAAAGAACCTGTTACCACCCAAGTTCCTGGCACCTGGTATCGTAGGCTCACGCCCCATCCCGACTAACGACTGGTGGGGCAACATTATTGGAGCTACCGTCGGAAAGGATGATGTTGTGTATCCTGTGTGGACCAATCCGTACAGTGTCACGCCGTCCATCTTTATGGAACCTTACGGTCTCACGATGAATTACCCGTACACGACTCGATTGTTTGGAGGAGGGTTGAGTGGAAATGGCGACGCTGAAATGTACTATATTCACGGCCAAGTACCTGAGTTTGCTTTCTCCGCCACGGAATTCTCCAACTCGTCTCGTCCAATTTTTGAGGTGTTTGACTGGGATGACCTTAGTGTGCAGCTTCGTTTCTTATCCCGCAGTGATTCCTCAAAGAAATTTGAGGCGACACTTGCTAGTGGCATGGCTTTCGTCACTGCTCGCTACTCGGGTCTAACCCCTCTCTTTCAGACAGTGTATAAGATTTCAACAATCAACGGCTTTGACTCCACTGAGACCGTCAACCGCTCTCTTACTAATGACCGCTACGTGCTGCAGTTCGACAACGACGCCACCTGGACGCTTTACTTCTCCAAAGAAGTTACACTTCATTTTGACGGTCATTCAACACTTAACATGAAAGAGCCCTTCACAGGAATTGCTCGTGTCGCACTGATTCCAGATGCATCTGCGCAGGAGCAGATCTCCTTTGACCAAGCGGCAAGCTGCGTCCTTGATGGTGGCCGTGTTGAAGCCCACAATGAAAATGCTTACGCATACAAATGGAAAACCAGCGGTGATTGCTCTAACGGAATGCTGCATTACGCTCAGGTCCATCACGTCGACACTTTGGATCGTAGATTTGCTGAGGAGATTGGTGGCATTGCTGCTCATTCCACCACCCGTGGACTGATGCAGGGTATGATGACCAAGACTTCACCGCCTGAGTGGCGTCTTGTGGAATCGTTGGACTTTCCAGTGGACTTCTACCCACCGCGAAAACCTGATGCAAAAGCAGTTAAGACATATGAAATGAAGAAAACTTTGATCGCCGACATTAACTCCCAGTGGACGATTGCCTTAGGTCAGAGCTACTACTTCAACGGCAAGGCTGCACAAAAGTACGCTTCACTTTGCTTAATGGCTGGAGATCCGTCTATCGTTGGTGAAGGCGATACCACACTAGTTCTGCACTGCGTCAAAAAGCTGGAGGGCTTGCTGACGCCGTTCCTCAAGAATTTATGGACAAACGCACTTAATTATGACACTGTATACCGCGGATTGGTGAGCTCACAGGGTTTTACTCTTAACAATCCAAACGTTGATTTTGGCAACACCATGTACAACGATCACCACTACCACTACGGCTACTGGGTTGTTACTGCCGCTATTATCAACAAGCTGGACCCCACTTGGTCGGGAATTCCAGAACTTAACCGCATGGCAGGCTTTTTGATCCGCGACGTCGCAAATCCATCGAATGCAGACCCGTACTTCCCAAAGTTCCGCAGTCTAGATTGGTACCGTGGTCACTCGTACTCACATGGCATCACGGCGCTCGCAGACGGAAAGGATGAGGAAAGCACGTCCGAGGACATGAACTTCTTCTACGGCATGACATTACTTGGCAAGGTGACTGGTGATACTCACCTCGAAACTGTTGGCAAGCTCATGGTCAAGCTCAACGCTCGCGCTATTCAAACGTACTTTCTGATCCAGGATGGCAACCGAGCCCACCCGGACCGCTACCGTGAAAACAAGGTCATGGGCATCCTCTTTGACAACAAGGTAAACTACGCCACGTGGTTCAGCGGTAAAAAATACGCAATCCATGGTATTCAAATGCTTCCGGCTACGGCTGTCACCGAATATGTGCGCACGCACGATTTTGTCTTGCAAGAATGGGACCAAGTCTTATCTCGAGAACCCATCGTCCAGAACGATGAGCTGACTAACCCATGGCTTTCGCTACTCTACATGAATTACGCCACCGTTAACAAGGAGTTTGCTTTAGAAAAGCTGCAAAATGTCACGATGGATGACGGCCTCTCGCGGTCATGGGCCATGTACATTGCAGCTACCCGGCCATAGGTTTAACTAGACTACGCCGAACCTTACAATGGCGGTAAGAACAAATCGAAGCTGCCGTCTAGTAGAATTAAGGTCGAGCAGAAAAATAAATCGAAAATGTTTTCTTACACGTAGTCATGTATGTTACAGTGTCACTTAGATCTACTTCAACGATAACATCATTACTGAGTAGAGGAAAGCCAACGATGCCAAAAATGAATAGCCGTATCTTGAAGCTGTTTGCACCAAAATAAGCAGGGTGTTGAACCAAATCGGTGACGTCTAAGGTCTGCGTGTGACAAGTTGATGACAGTAGCAGCTATGGCTTGGCTAGCGTGGGAGTGTAAATATCGTTATACCAAAAGTGCACTCATCGTTGTTCGTAATAAATCCATTACATTATAAAAGCGATAACGCACTCGTTCGTCTTCCTTAAAATGTGAACCGGTTAGTCCTTTCATACCATTGGCACCGTCATTAGGTGTCAAAGCGAATATTATCTTAGCGTTCAATAATATTCATTACATTAATGGGTAATATTTCGAAACGTCTGCTCATTGCTAATATAGGCCATTATATCAGCCAGCACAAGCGGTCCAATCAAGGATGGACGCGCGCAATGGGTGGCGGGCAGATAGCTTGTTTGTATTTACATATAATTTAAAGTAAGCTAAATCAAGATAGTTCAATTAATACGCTGGTCAGTGGCATGGGGTACACCATCAATCTAGGTAGCTGATTCACCCGTCGGTAGTCAATACACAATCGAATGTCGACTACGTTCTTCTTAATGAAAAGGACTATCGGCAAAGCCCAAAAATATGTTGGTAACCGATATTTAGCCGTCAGTAGCCTTTATGTAACGGGGTTACATGAAGGTGTGTACTTTACATACACACCTGCCACACCACGTTGGTGTGGCTGTACCTTGGGTACAAAAGTAGGTGATGTGACCGTACCTGAAGTACGAAGGGTCGCAGCCACGTGGTCACAATACTTATTTAAAGTATAGTGACTATGCATGTTTGCATAAAAATAATAGGCTATAGAGCCAGTAAATAGTGACTAGCACTAAGTATAGAGTAGGTGCTTCTATATTTAGTGTTAGAAGATAAACATAAATATAAATCAGTTTCAAACCTGCTCTGTAAGCATCACTGCTTGAGAGTTCTCTTCCTTGCAAGACAGGAAGTAGTATCTTGATACTGGTCTCTTGGAGACGTGGTTGTTTACAATAAAAAGGCACAAGCTTGCGAGCTAGCCTTGGAGGGTTAAGCACCCTAAGACGTAGAAGCTCTTGGAGCTTGTCTTCCTCTGCACGTAGTGCATAAGTAGCTTTGCTACAGTAGTTTGACTACTTCTTCTGCACATAGAGCAACTGCACATAGTGCATAATTAGCGTAGCTACAGTAGCTCAGGTATACCTGGTAGCACTCGTAGTCAATCCCGCACCTGGGTTTGCGGCTACTTCTCTGTGTGAGAATGGACATTGATGAGATGTCAGCAATTAGCCTGTCACAGGCAAAACAGGAAGGGTTGCAGAAGCTGCTCCCTATCCTTGGCCCGAAGGGCGTGAAGTACCTCGTCGCCCAGGGCGAAGAAGAGGTTTACAAGCGTATTCATATGCTTGATGAGTATAATAAAGCTCTAGTTAAGTATGTAAAGGCACAGATGCCTTCTTCTGCGCCTTCAAACATGGCGATTATGGCGCAAGAAGTGGTCCGCAGACCAAAATCCATGCAAATGGAAGTCGCTAAGTTCGACGGCAAAGAAGGTGATAAACTTATGCTTTGGTTCCGACAGGTTGAGTCGGCTATGTTTATAGCCGACATCACCTATGAACCGTACCGTGTGGGCTTGGCCGCGGGCAAGTTAGGTGGATTAGCCAAACAGTGGGCTTTCACATGTGGTGCATCACTGCAAGATGCTTTTCCCACATGGGCCGATCTGAAACCTCAGATGACCCGGCAGTATGCACCGCCAAACCAAGCACACCGTAACCGGTCGCGATTTTTGGCGTGTCGCCAAGATAAGCGTGAGCTTGCGTATATGTGCAAAAGTCGAGAACTCTCATTGCTGCAATAGTCATAGACCCTATGCCTGAGGCAGTGACCGTTACGGTCTACAAGGAAGGCCTCCGAGTTAGTGTTGCCAGAATAGAAGCCTTCCGGGAACCCGTCCTCATTCGAGAAAGCTGTTGCGGTGGCATGGAACCCCGAGGCTAACTTGAAGGCCGCTAGGCCTGCCACTTATAACTGCTCAGAAAAGGACAAGCAATCTGCAAGAAATGTTGTGGGTAACGAATGCAGAGCAAATACGGGCCTCACCGGGAATCAAATCCGGGACCTCTCGCACCCGAAACGAGAATCAAACGGGCCCCACCGGGAATCGAACCCGGGACCTCCCGCACCCAAGGGGAAAAAAACACCACAAAACCACAAGGCCACCACCCCCTACATGAAAACACACACACTTTACAAAACGCTCTCCTGTACACACGACGCAACACACGCAAGCTATGTTACCATCCACCAAAGTGCTGCTCTTCTTACTACCGGTTCATGTAACGGACGCGATATGTAAGACGTATTGACACCGCTGCTGACTTGTCAACATGACCGTCTGCTTATCCACCGCTACGGACTTGTCAACACAACGGTCTTCTACTACGCGTGTCTTTCATTTGGCAGTCTCCTGCCGATATAACGCACCCAGCAGATGACACTATATCTTCCATGATGAGGTCACGGACATGGACATAGATTGCTTATTACACCACTGCTGCGGGGTCGGTCGAGAAATTGTGCTTGAATTGCCTTGGACTTCTCGTTCAAATCAAAGCACGACCTGGACCGCGGTGTACAAAGGATACACAGGAGCTTGACGCAACACGAGGTGTGCAGATTAATGCATGATTGTGTAGGCAAGCCAGTGAGTGACAAGCAATCTTGTGGGTCGCGAATGCAGAGCAAAGACGGGCCTCACCGGGAATCAAACCCGGGACCTCTCGCACCCGAAGCGAGAATCATACCACTAGACCACGAGGCCACTCAACCTACATGAAAACACACACACTTTACAAAACGCTCTCCTGTACACACGACGCAACACACGCAAGCTATGTTACCATCCACCAAAGTGCTGCTCTTCTTACTACCGGTTCATGTAACGGAAGCGATATGTAAGACGTATTGACACCGCTGCCGACTTGTCAACATGACCGTCTGCTTATCCACCGCTACGGACTTGTCAACACAACGGTCTTCTACTACGCGTGTCTTTCATTTGGCAGTCTCCTGCCGATATAACGCACCCAGCAGATGACACTATATCTTCCATGATGAGGTCACGGACATGGACATAGATTGCTTATTACACCACTGCTGCGGGGTCGGTCGAGAAATTGTGCTTGAATTGCCTTGGACTTCTCGTTCAAATCAAAGCACGACCTGGACCGCGGTGTACAAAGGATACACAGGAGCTTGACGCAACACGAGGTGTGCAGATTAATGCATGATTGTGTAGGCAAGCCAGTGAGTGACAAGCAATCTTGTGGGTCGCGAATGCAGAGCAAAGACGGGCCTCACCGGGAATCGAACCCGGGACCTCTCGCACCCGAAGCGAGAATCATACCACTAGACCACGAGGCCACTCAACCTACATGAAAACACACACACTTTACAAAACGCTCTCCTGTACACACGACGCAACACACGCAAGCTATGTTACCATCCACCAAAGTGCTGCTCTTCTTACTACCGGTTCATGTAACGGAAGCGATATGTAAGACGTATTGACACCGCTGCCGACTTGTCAACATGACCGTCTGCTTATCCACCGCTACGGACTTGTCAACACAACGGTCTTCTACTACGCGTGTCTTTCATTTGGCAGTCTCCTGCCGATATAACGCACCCAGCAGATGACACTATATCTTCCATGATGAGGTCACGGACATGGACATAGATTGCTTATTACACCACTGCTGCGGGGTCGGTCGAGAAATTGTGCTTGAATTGCCTTGGACTTCTCGTTCAAATCAAAGCACGACCTGGACCGCGGTGTACAAAGGATACACAGGAGCTTGACGCAACACGAGGTGTGCAGATTAATGCATGATTGTGTAGGCAAGCCAGTGAGTGACAAGCAATCTTGTGGGTCGCGAATGCAGAGCAAAGACGGGCCTCACCGGGAATCGAACCCGGGACCTCTCGCACCCGAAGCGAGAATCATACCACTAGACCACGAGGCCACTCAACCTACATGAAAACACACACACTTTACAAAACGCTCTCCTGTACACACGACGCAACACACGCAAGCTATGTTACCATCCACCAAAGTGCTGCTCTTCTTACTACCGGTTCATGTAACGGAAGCGATATGTAAGACGTATTGACACCGCTGCCGACTTGTCAACATGACCGTCTGCTTATCCACCGCTACGGACTTGTCAACACAACGGTCTTCTACTACGCGTGTCTTTCATTTGGCAGTCTCCTGCCGATATAACGCACCCAGCAGATGACACTATATCTTCCATGATGAGGTCACGGACATGGACATAGATTGCTTATTACACCACTGCTGCGGGGTCGGTCGAGAAATTGTGCTTGAATTGCCTTGGACTTCTCGTTCAAATCAAAGCACGACCTGGACCGCGGTGTACAAAGGATACACAGGAGCTTGACGCAACACGAGGTGTGCAGATTAATGCATGATTGTGTAGGCAAGCCAGTGAGTGACAAGCAATCTTGTGGGTCGCGAATGCAGAGCAAAGACGGGCCTCACCGGGAATCGAACCCGGGACCTCTCGCACCCGAAGCGAGAATCATACCACTAGACCACGAGGCCACTCAACCTACATGAAAACACACACACTTTACAAAACGCTCTCCTGTACACACGACGCAACACACGCAAGCTATGTTACCATCCACCAAAGTGCTGCTCTTCTTACTACCGGTTCATGTAACGGAAGCGATATGTAAGACGTATTGACACCGCTGCCGACTTGTCAA